GAGAGAGCTCAGGGAGAGAAAAAAAGCTGCCAGAGTCATCCTGTGTAGTTAATCTCAAACAATCCCAGATTCTAGGACGGGTAAAAGCTATTTCCTCAAGTTATGGAGAAGAAAGAAGCCAGAGTACTGCACTAAGAAGCTGCCCTTACAATAAACCCATGTGGCCAGTGAGGAGGCTGGGTGGCATGTGATGACTTACACTGGACTACAGGTTGCTGAACAAAATTGTCACAACAATCACTGAGGCCATTCCTTACATTTTCAATGAGATAGTCACCCAAGCCCCACAGGAATGGAATGAAGTAGTCAAATTTACTGCCTTTTCCCCCCTACTTTTGTGACTGAATAGTCAGGAACAGTTTATATTTAGCTAGGAAGAACTCCAGCATACCTTCACAGTTGTTTCCCACAGCTTCTACCTGAACTCTTCCTCTTAGTGTAAGTCTGGTGGACAGAGACTTGAAGGAGGCCCTACTTCCTGAGGACAATGATTTCCACCACGACACCCATGACATAATGTTGGCCAGACCAGACAAGGCCACGGTGATAGAGGACCAAGGTCGAATGGTTGCTCAAATGAGGGATGACTTGTGGGAGATCAACACTAAGAAAATCCAAGGTGTAACCTGCTCAGTCCAGTTTGGGGATATACAGTGCATGGGGAGAAGCTAGTTGAGCCTGGATGGAGTCCAGAACAAGCTATTGACATTTGTTAACAAAACAGACATTGGCAGTGGGTACCAGTGATGGCAGATATTTTATTTTTTTAATTTTAATTTCCATAACATAGTACAACATAAAATATGATTGCACATGAAACTGCAAATCTACTATGTACAACTTGCTATTCCTTTCAAATATGTAAAATTGCAATGTAAATTTCTTTTTTTCTACCCTACCTCTACACCACTGTAGAGATAGCTACCATTAGACACAAATATCTATACCTATACACATGCAAACACGCACACACTCACATATATGTGTATATATATATATACACACACATGTAAAATATACATAATATGTGTGTAAAATTATTCTATACTTACTTCTATTTATCAGTTCTTTCTCTGGATACAGATAGTGTCTTTCTTCATATATCCTTTATAGTTAATTTGGGTATTTATAATAGTCAAAATAATTTATTCACTCAAAATCTTTCTTAAAACAGCATTGCTATTACTGTATACAATGTTCTCTTGGTTCTGCTCATTTTGCTCTTCATTATTTTGTTCAAGTCTTTTCATGTTTTTCTAAATCATTGAGCTCATCATTTCTTATAGCACAATAGTACTCCATCATAATCTTATACCACAATTTGTTCAGCTATTCCCCAATTGATGAGCACCCCTGCAATTTCTAGTTCTTTGACACTACAAAGAGAATTTCTATAAACATTTTAGAACATATAAGTTCTTTTCCTTTTTCCCTAATTGTTTTTGGAAATAGACCTAGTAATGGTATTGCTAGGTCAAAGGTTATAGGCAGCTTAATAACTCCTTGGGCATAATTCCAGATTGCTTTCCAAAATGGTTGGATCAGTTCACAATTCCACCAACAATGAATTAATGTCCCAATTTTTCCACATCCCCTCCAACATTTGTTACTTTCACATTGTATCATTTTAGTCAATCTGGTAATTATAAAATGATATCTCAAGGTTGTTTTAATTTGCATCTCTCTAATCAATAATGATTTAAAGCATTTTTTTCATATGACTATGAATTATTTTGATTTCTTCATTGGAAAACTGCCTGTTAATATCCTTTGGCCATTTATGAATTGAGGAATGACTCATATTCTCATAGATTTGACAAAATTCTTTATGTATTTTAGATCTGAGACATTTATCTGATAAACTGTCTATAAAATCCCCCCCCCAATATTTTGCTTGCCTTTTGATCTTGGCTACATTTTTTTATTTGTACAAATACTTTTTAATTTAATATAATCACAATTATCCATTTTACACTCAACTTTGCTTTATCTCTTCTTTATTCACAAATTGTTCACCTATCCAAAAGTCTGATAAGTAATATATTCCATGCTTTTTAAATTTTCTTATAAAATCTCTTTATATATATGTATCCATTTTGGCCTTATCTTTTTTTGGGGGGGGGCAAGGCAATTGGGGTTAAGTGAGACTTGCCCAGAGTCACACAGCTAGTAAGTGTCAAGTGTCTGAGGCCAGATTTGAGCTCAGGTCCTCCTGACTCCAAGGCTGGAGTTCTATCTACTGCACCACCTAGCTTCCCCTTGGTCTTACCTTGGTAAAAGGTGTAAGATATTGGTCTATGCCCAGTTTCTGTCACACTGCTTTCCAGTTTTCCCACCAATTTTTTACCAAATAACGAATTCTTATCCCCAAATCTTGTCTTTACACTTATTAAATACAGTTATTGTATTTGCTACTGTAAATTATATGTCTACTTTGTATGTCTACTTTTCTATTTCTTAGCTGGTATGAGATAGTTTTGATAATTACTACCTTATAACATAGTTAAAATGTCATACAACTAAATCTCTTTCCTTTATGGTTGTTTTTTCATTATTTCCTTTGATATTCTTGACTTTTCTGTTTTTCCAAATGAATTTTATTATTTTTCCTAATTAAGTAAAATAATTTTTGGTAATTTAATTGTGATGGTATTTGGGTAAAATCATCATTTTTATTATATTGGCCCTGCCTATTCATGAATAATTAATGTATCTCCAATTATTTAAATCTGATTTTATTTGTATAAAAAGTTTCTTTTAAAAAATAATTTTGTTTACATAGTTCCTAGGTTTGTGTTGGCAGGTGTATACTCAGATATTTTATACTGCCTGGACTTATTTTAAATGGAATATTTTCTTTTACTATCTCTTCCTACAGAGTTTTGTTTGTGATATATAGGAATGCTGATGATGATGATGGATTTACTTTACATCCTGCTACTTTGTTAAAATTGATAATTGTTTCAACTAACTTTTTGGTTGAGTCTTTGGGATTTTCCAAGTAAATCATCATATAATCTTCAAAACCAGATAGTTTTATCACCTCATTCCCTATTCTGATTCCTTCTATTTCTTTTTCTTCTCTTATTGCTATTGCTAGGATTACTAACACAATAGTGAATAATATTGGTGACAGTGGGCATCCTTGCTTCACAGCTGATCTTACTGGTAAGACTTCTAGAGTATCCCCATTATAAATAATGCTTGCTGATGGCTTTAGATAAATGCTTTTTCTCAATTTAAGGAAAAATCCATTTATACCAATACTTTCAAGTGTTGTTTTTTTTTCTAAATAGAAATGAGGGTTGAATTTTATCAAAAGCTTTTTCTGCATCTATTGATAAAATGATGTGATTTTTAAAAACTTTTATCATTGATGTAATCAATTATTTTAATAGTTTTCCTTATATTAAACCATTCCTGCATTCCCACTTGATCATAATGTATAATCTTTATAATATATTGTAATAGTGGCAAAGATTTTAGCAGATTGGCAGCATCACAGTCACTGAAGGCAACAAAGCCCCCAGAAGCAGGAGCAATTTCAAAGGTTCCAGCATTAACAGCAGCAGTGCAGGGCAGCAGGCTGAGGAATGTCACAAGTACCAGGAGTTGATAGGATTATTGTCAATGTTCATGAATAGGTAGTAACTCTACTAGAGGCTGAGGCCTCTCTAGTCCTAGTCCTGACACCCTCCCTCTTCTGTTAATCCACCCTGCCTATGAGGGTCTGACTCCCGCAGATCTGTTTTTCCTGGTTTACTGGTTTCCTATTTCCTGGTTCCACTCATGCATGCACAAATGGCTCTCAGTAGCCATCAATAATCCAATAACAGATGATAACCTGAAGGACAGAGGTCTTGTAAAGTCCTCCCAGTGGGCTGAGATAGGGCAACACAAAAGCTGAAAGTGAGAGAGCCTTCAGGGATGGTGCAGATAAGACTTATAAACTGTAACTGATTCCTGGACAATGGCAATGAGTCTGAAGCCTAGAGAGAACTGGTTAAAAGGCATTGCAGGAATTTGGTCAATGTCTTTTCCCTATATGAGTTGTTTTTAGGGCATATTTAGCATTTATCTCTGTTGAATTGAGCAGTCAACTTAAAACCTTTACAACAACAGTAGAGGTTGAAAATGTGGATCTATTACCAATCTGGATATGGGGGCAATGATGCCGAATTGTGTGGGATTATATGATCCTTTTAAGGATAAGGCAGCAATGTCTGCCCAAATGACTTAATCATCATCACTGAAAATACTAGTATCAGATATCCCACCTCCCAGAAGTCAGACCCATGACAAATTGGCACCATCTTAGAAAGGCAAAAGACTACCTCCAGAAATCTCTTGGATCTGCCTTCTAAGAAGTCTTATCTGATAATGCTTTTGGACATAGTTCTGATTGACAAGTTGCCCTTCCTTGTTCCATCTGGCACAGAGTAGCAAGTATCTCAAGGTCCCTTCTCTCATACTATCTAAGGGGCTTGATACACCCTGGAGAAATGGCTCAGGTCACCTGAAATTAGTCACTTTCTTTTCCTGTGTGATGTTTTGAGAATTCCTCATAAAGGCTTGTTCCTCCAAGATGACTTGGTGGCACACTGGATAGAGCACTGGGACTGGAGTCAGAAAAATCTGAATTCAAATATGGCCTCAGATACTTAATTTATTTTTGACCCTGGTCAAGTTATTTAATGTCTACCTGCCTTAGTTTCCTCAACTGTAAAAAACTGGGATAAATATAGCACCTCCCTCACAGGGTTGTTGTGAGAATCAGCTAATATTTACGAAGTACTTCACACAGTGCCTGGCACATACTTTTCCTCCTTCCCTATTCCTTCCTTAAAAAGTAAGAATTGGACTTCTGAGAGCCAAAATGGTAGAGTAAGTAGCAAGCTGCTATCACTCTCCTTTTGTGACCTCTTGAAAAAACAGAAAATGGTGCCCCAGAAAAATCTTGGAACAGCTGAGACAGTGGAAAGACAGGGAGAAGCAGTCTTTTAGCATGGGAAACTTGGAGGATCTCCACAAAAACACAATCCCAGGTAGGCAGTCTTTTTCCAGCAGCCAAACCTCCTCGTGCTTCCGCACAGCCCTAGGCTGGCATCTTCCAGCAGCTGAACCTCCCAATGCTTCAGTGCAGCTCTAAGTGGGTGGGTGTCCTCCAGGAGCTGAACCTCCCCTCACTTCAGCACAGCCCTGGATAAGCAGGCATGCTTTAGTAATCAGACTTGCCTGTGCTTCAGTGTAGCCCTGGGGGAAATGCAGAAAAATCCCACCTGGCCTCAGCACATACCAGACACTACCACTAGGACCCCAGCTCAGCACCAGGTAAGCTACCAGACCCCTACAGCCTCCAGCTGCCAACACCTGAGGTCTCAGGACACAAAGCCCGTGACCAGGCCCCTGGCCCCCAGCACAAGAAAATTGGGATAGTGACCCCTGTGCTCCAGCGGGAGAACTCAACATTAAAAGCCAGGAAATGTGTGAACAAGTTGAGCAAAAAACAAAAATGAATATTATCCATCGAGAGCTACTATGGTGACAGGGAAAATCAAAACACAAACTCAGAAGAGGACAACATTGTCAATACACCTACATCTGAAACCTCAAAGGAGAATATAAATTGGATGCAAGTCCAAAAAGTCTTTTTGGAAGAGCTCAAGAAGTATTTCAAAAGTCAAATTAGAGAGGTAGAAGAAAAACTGGGAAAAGAAATGAGAGATATGTAAGAGAGAGTCAACAGCTTGGGAAAGGAAGGACAAAAATTGACTGAAGAAAATAACTCCTTAAAAAATACAATTGGCCAAATGGAAAAGGAGATACAAAAATGCACTGAAGAGAAGAACACCTTAAAAAGTAGGATTGGCCAAATAGAAAAGGAGGTACAAAAGGTAACTGAAGAAAAAAATTCCTTAAAAATTAAAATTGGGCAAGTGGAAGCTAATGATTCTATGAGACATCAAGAATCAGTAAAACAAAATCAAAAGAATGAAAAAAATAGAAGAAAATGTAAAATACCTCATTGGAAAAACAACTGACCTGGAAAATAGATCCAGGAGAGATAATTTAAGAATTATTGGTCTACCTGAAAGCCATATAAAAAAAAAAAAAGAGCATAAACAGCATTGTTCATGAAATTATCAAGGAAAACTACCCTGAGGTCCTTGAACAAGAGGGTAAAATAGTTATTGAAAGAATCCACCAATCACCTCCTGAAAGAGATACCAAAAGGAAAACATGCAATATTGTAGCCAAATTCCAGAATTATCAGGTTAAGGAGAAAATACTGCAAGCAGCCAGAAAGAAACAATTTAAATATCACAGAACCACAGTCAGCATTACCCAGGATCTAGCAGCTTCTACATAAAAGGATTAGAGGTCTTGGAATACAATATTCTGGAAGGCAAAGGAGATTGGATTACAACCAAAGATCAACTACCCAACAAAATTGAACATAATCTTTCAGGAGAGGAGATTAACATTCAATGAAATAGGACACTTCCAAACCTTCCTGATGAAAAAACGAGGGCTCAACAGAAAATTTGATCTTCAAATACAAGACTCAAGAGAAGCATAGAAAGTAAACAGGAAAAAACAACAACAACATGTTATTTGATAAGGGTAAACTGTTTACATCCCTACATGGGAAGATGATACTTGTAACTCTTGAGAACTGTACAGTTATTATGACATTTAGAAGGGGTATACAAAGACAGAGGGAGCGGGTGTGAGTTGACTTTGATGTGGTGATAAAAAAAAATAATTAAGGGGTGAAAAAAAGGATTGTATTGGGAGAGAAGGAAGGGAGACAGAAAAGGGTAAATTATATCACATGAAATGGTGCAAAGACCTATCACAGAAGAAGGAAAGAAGGGAGGGAGGCAAGCATTGTTTGAACCTTATTCTCATCTGATTTGGTTCAAAGAAGGAATAACATATACACTCACTTAAGTATAGAAATCTATCTTACCCTATAGGAAGTAGGAGGGGTAAGAGAGAAAAAAAAGGTAGGGGGTGGATATAAGGGAGGGCAGATTAAGGGAGGGGGTGATCAGAAGAAAAACACTGGTGAGAAGTGAAAGAGAGAAAGGAGAGAGAAAAGCATAAAAGGGGGGAAAATAGGATGGAGAGAAAGACACACTTAGAAATCAAAACTGTGAATGTGAGTGGGATGAACTCTCCCATCAAATGGAAGCAGATAGCAGAGTGGATCAAAAACCATAATCCTCTAGTATGTTGTTTACAAGAAACATTTTTGAAGCAGAGAGATTCACACAAAATGAAGGTAAAAGGCTGGAGCAGAATATATTATGCTTCAACTAAAGTAAAAAAAAAAAGCAGGGGTAGTAATCTTGATCTCAGACAAAGCAAAAGCAAAAATAGATCTAAATAGAAGAGATAAGGAGAGAAGCTGCATCCTGCTAAAAGGTACCATAGACAATGAAGTAATATCATCACTAAACATATAGGCACCAAGTGGTATAGGCATCCACATTCTTAGAGAAGTTAAGTGAGTTACAGGAAGAAATAGACAGCAAAACTATCCTAGTAGGAGACCTCATCCTCTCCCTCTCTGAACTAGATAAATCTAACCACAAAATGAACAAGAAAGAAGTTAAGGAGGTAAATAGAATTTTTAAAAAGTTAGATATGGAAGACCTCTGGAGAAAAATGAATGGGAATAGAAAGGAAAATACCTTTTTCTCAGTGGTACATGGCAGCTATACAAAAATTGACCATGTACTAGGGCATAAAAACCTCACAATAGAATGTAGAAAGGCAGAAATATTAAATGCATCCTTTTCAGATCATGATGCAATAAAAATTACATGTAACAAAGGCCCATGGAAAGATAAACTAAAAATTAATTGGAAACTAAATAATATAATCCTAAAGAATGAGTGGGTCAAACAACAAATCATAGAAACAATCAATAACTTCATCCAAGAGAATGACAATAATGAGACAACATACCAAAACTTATGAGATGCAGTGAAATAGAATGCAGTTCTTAGGGGAAATTTTATATCTCTAAATTCTTACATGAATAAAATAAAGAAAGAGGAGATTAATGAATTGGGCATGCAACTAAAAAAGATAGAAAAAGAACAAGTTAAAAATCCCCAATTAAATACCAAATTAGAAATTCTGAAAATCAAAGGTGAGATGAATAAAATTGAAATTAAGAGAACTGTTGAACTAATAAATAAAACTAAGAGCTGGTTTTATGAAAAAAAACAGCAAAAATTAGATAAACCTCTGGTTAATTTGATTTAAAAAAAAGAAAAAAGAAAACCAAATTACCAGTATCAAAATGAGAAGGATGAATTCATCACCAATGAAGAGGAAAGTAAAACAATAATTAGGAACTATTTTGCCCAACTGTATGCCAATAAATTTGATGATCTTAGTGAAATGGATGAATATTTACAAAAATATAAATTGTCCAGATTAACAGAAGAGAAAGTAAAATACTTAAATAACCCCATCTCATGAAAAGAAATTGAACAAGCCATCAATGAACTCCCTAGGAAAAAATCTCTAGGGCCAGATGGATTTACAAGCAAATTCTATGAAACATTTAAAGAACAATTAATTCTAATACTACATAGACTATCTGGGAAAATAGGTGAAGATAGAGTCTTACCAAATTGTTTTTACAATACAAATATGGTGCTGATACCTAAACCAGGAAGGTCAAAACAGAGAAAGAAAATTATAGACTAATTTTCCTAATGAATATAGATGCAAAAATTTTAAATAAAATATTAGCAAAGAGATTACAGCAACTTATCATGAAAATAATACACTATGACCAGGTAGGATTTATACCAGCTGGTTCAATATTAGGAAAACTATCAGCATAATTGATCATATCAACAACAAAACTAACAGAAACCACATGATTATCTCAACAGATTCAGAAAAGCTTTTGACAAAATACAACACCTATTCCTATTAAAAACACTAGAGAGCATAGGAATAAATGGAGTCTTCCTTAAAATGATAAGTAGCATCAACCTAAAACCTTTAGCAAGCATCACATGTAATGGGGATAAGCTAGAAGCATTTCCAATAAGATTGGGGGTGAAACAAGGATGTCCATTATCACCACTGCTGTTCAATATGGTACTGGAAACATTTGTTTCAGCAATGAGAAGAAAAAGAAATTGATGTATTAGAATAGGCAAAGAAGAAAAAAAGCTATCCCCATTGCCTCCAAGAGCAAATGCAAAATTCTATTTGATATTTTAAGCCCTTCATAACCTAGGCCCCTCCTTCCTTTCTAGCCTTCTGATACCTTACTCCCCATTATATACTCTTTGATTTAGTGACACTGGCCTTCTTTTTGTTCCAAGAACATAATAATCCAGTTCTTGGCTCTAGTCTTGACATTTTCTCTGGCTGTACCCCATGCCTGGAACCTCTTCCTTTTCAGTTTCATCTACTGACCTCCCAACTTTCTTTAAGTCCCAACTAAAATCTCATCTTTTACTTCAAGCCTTTTCCAACTCCTCAGTTCTAATGCCTTCCCTCTAATTCTCCTAATTTTCTAATCATCCTGTTTATAGTTTGTTGGCATGTGCATGTATATATACACATACATATAAATGTATATATGTGTGTGTATATGTATATGATATCATTTCTCTATTTGATTGTACGTTTCTTGAGGGCAGGGACTATCTTTTGCTTCTGTTTGAATTCCCAGGGCTTGGCACCTACCTGACATATAGATTGATTTCTAAATAAATAATCAATTATTTTTCTGTTATTCTTTCTGGTTTTCATTCTATTCTCTGGATTAAAAAAAATCTTCAATGAGTCTCTTTTCTTTAACTTTTCTTTTTCCTCTTTTTCCCCTTAACCAGTAACTTTCTCTGCTTCCCACCCCTGCCAGACTTGAAACAAAGAAAAGTTTTGTGAAAGTATGCATGGTCAAGGAAAGCAAATTCCCATGTTGGGTGTTTCAGAAAGTGTATGCTCTTATTCTGCATTCTGAGTCCATCTTCTCATCTTAATAAGAAATAGATACAACAATGAACACAACAAAGACAGAAAAAAGAGCTAGATTATCTAAAGCATACACAGAGGAAATCTGATGCAAGTGAGAAAATTTTAGGGCATTGAGCTATTAATTCACGAGTTATCTGTTGTTACCAGAGGCAAGGAAAAACAGATTTGGGGCCTTTCTAATACCTAAAAAAACAACAACTATGGGCAGGACTTAGTATTGTTTAATTTGATATTGTTAGAGAAGTTCCATTGTTCAGTTTCATGGTTGTGATGAGAGAGACAAAGATGACAGGACAGAGAGGAGGGTAAATGACATTTATGTGAGAGAGACTGAGGTGCAATCAGTGGTAAAAGGAATATTCTAGACACAAAGGAAACTGGGCAACTTTTAGCAGATAGAAAGGGCCTGGATGAAATAGAGAAGGTCACTGGTAGTGGGATATGGGCTATTCCCACTTATGGAGTAGGACTCTTGTCTTGGTGATACAAGGTTATATTGGAGTACTGATAAGTTGTCTAGATTTCAATGATGCTAATCTTCTGGCTTCCATTTAGAAATACTGAGGATATTGTGGTCCCCTATTGGCTCCCAGCAGTGATAGAGTTAAATTTTACTCTGTGTCCTGGGGATATTTTTGGGAAGAAGCATCCTTCTTAAACTGTCTCTTTTTCCTGAAGGATAGATGAGATACTGTGATAAATAATGAACCTAAAGGTATCTCAAGAAGAGCAGTAATGCCCTCTCTCCAAGATGAACTCTCAATTTTCATCTGCCAGACATCTATCAGTCAATGCACAGAGAAAAGAAAATCCCCAGTGCTCCTCAAAATATTCACTTTATGACATGGAATTTTAGCATAACCAGCTAACATCTGGGTCCAACATTTGTGGCAAACCAATATCCTGCAGTTATGAAAGTGCATTGTTATGATGGCAAGACTTGGTCTTAGATGTTGGAGTCTCATGTCACTGTTTAGTGCTTATAGAAGAGAATTTCTCCTTCTGTGAGCCCAAAGCTCCAACTACAGATAATGATCTCTCCATTGGGTTACAGAATGGGATAGGTGGCCTGGGTCGCAATACCACAGTGGTTGTTTCTGTCCTTCGCAAGATACATGTAGCCTCTGTCGCCCCATGTCACACCAAAACTGAAAGGGAACAGAGCTGGATGAGTGCATAAATAACTGTAAAGGGAGTCAACTTTAGTATTGTAAGTTGATTATTTTCATTCTCTATCTTCATTCTTGGGACTATAAAAATGAATCCAAAGGGCCCATATAAAGACTGGGATTTGAAGAAATCATGAGGCACATGGAAGATAGGAAATTGGCTCAATATTTAAACTGCAACTATGGCAGAGGAAACTGAAATTTAGTATGAAGACTCAGAGAGAATCAATTCCTTGTTGATCAGTACAGCAAGTGGAGAAAAGCCAGCTTTGTCAAGGAGATATGAAACTCTCCCTCACATGGACAGGCTTGAGAAGAAAAATCCAAATGAGGGTCCAGGTTGTTAAATCTAGGCAAACTCCACTGAGTAAAAGAGCCCACATAGCCTCTCCCTCTTTCACAAGGAACATCTTACACCTTTGTCACATTCCATCATCCATTCCCTATGTTTAAGAATCCAGTATTTCTTCCCTCCATATTGATTTTCTTCAAATCCATTCACTACATATCCATATGCTCCTTCTGATTCAATCACTATATTTTCAGTTTCTTCTTCTTCTCTATATCCAAGCAACATGGTTCAAGTCATTTTCATTGCAATATGGATCAATGTGAAATCCTAGAGAATGCAAGAAAAAAGCTCTTTGGGTGAGTTAGGTAACTCAGTGAAATGAGCACCAGGCCTGGGAGGACCCAAGCACAAACAGACACTTCCTAGCTGTGTGACCTTGAGCAAGTGACTTAACCCCTGTTTGCCTCAGTTCCCTCATCTAATATGAGAATGATAATAGTATTTATCTCCCAGAGTTTTTCCAAGAATCAAATGAAAGATAATATTTGTAAAAAGCACTTAGCACAGAGCCTGGAACATAGTAGGCACTACGTAAATGTGATTATTATTAAGCTCAGTCTGACACATTGGGGCATTTATTTTTTTGACATCATATCTGACTGACACCATATTTGGCTGACCCCAAACCTCTTCGATAAAGATAGAAGGCCCTCATTGCATGTATTGTTACAGTCACTGGCCCCACAGTTGCCACAGCCTTCATTAGAGTTCTTCATCTCCCTTGGGAAGGATCACATAATTTCTCATTCTAAGAACCGGACATAGACATCTCTGACAGCAATACCAATTTTTCTGGAAAAGATAGTCAAGTGGAGGAAGTCAGCAGAGGTTTGGAAAGGGAAGACACTAACTAGGAATCTGAGAAACCTCAGTGTTGAGTCAAATTTTTATAGATAGACGATTATGATCCTGCTGTCATAACCTGTATATTAGGTTTCAGGAATCTCTGCTTAAGGGTTCCTAGTTGTCGTCTCCTTAGAAAAGCAAAATTATAAGACAAGCTATTTATTAGAGGGACTTCCTAAATTATTCATCAGTTTACTTCAAACTTGTATGGATTTTGTAAAAAATAATGCCATCAACACAATCTTTGTCAAATTCTCTTCAGGTATTTTTTTTTTTTGTTATTGTTGTTGCAGTCACATGCCATAGGAGTATACTTGAGTATAGAAAGTATTCCCTTCATAAACCTTTTTATTGGTTTCATGAGTAACTTGGTCCCCTTGGTCTTATCTGCAAGGCGGAGGACCTGAGTTTACCTTTCCCCAGTCTTGGCAAAATTGGCCAGCCCACTCTCAAGGATGTCAATGCAGAGTGTTTCTTCATTTACCTTTTCCATATATGGGTAGCAGGACTCAGTTGTTATGTCCCCATTTTGTATAATATATCTATAGGTTTCAAGGATATATCCCCCAGTACAGTTGCCAGCACCAGAACAGTCAAGTAGTTGCTGGGTACTCAGTTGCACAAGTCTTACTGTTTTCCGGAAGAACTGACCTTCCAGAGCTCCAGTTACAGAGTATGCCCAGCAGGAGTTACAGTCCCCCTGAAAGATAAGAGAGCAACTAATTGATCATTGTACTCAAACTGCCACAGTGCTTAATTAGTGCAAGACTTTCAACTTAACAGGACTGATCAATATTTGTTGGAAGAACAAGAGAATTCATGGGAGGCAAGGAAAGATCTTGTAAGAGTTCTGGTTTTGCTGTCACCTAAGAAGGATTCCCTTGGTTTATGTTCCATGCTTGCTCATTTACTGTGAAGGTGGCATGGCCAATACCCTGCACCCAAATGGTCAGTCACTCAAATTCTCACTATTTTCTTGCCCAAATTCTTGCAGGATAAATGCAAACCCCAAAGAGTAACATAAAATGAGGGATAACACCTGGTCTGCAACAGGGGTCACAAAGCCATGCTCCCTCCAGTCCAGTGATCTGGGAATGTCAGAGTAAGTTGAAAAAAACTGGGCTGCAGTATCTCTCCTTTCCCTCAGTGATATGGAAGGGTTCAGCATTTTCTTGAATTCCTCTCCAGTCTGAAAGAATGGCAAGCTATCTTATGTGGGACACAGAATCAGTGTTCCTTTTTTTAGAGAAAGGTAATTGTTTCTGATGACACAGTTTCCCTGGCCACACTTTCCAGTACTGATTGCACTTTCATTTATTCCCCTTGGCTCGTTGGTTGAGGTGGGAGAGTTAGAATACTCTTTGCTCTCCACTGTTAATTCTCCATTCCCATTCCTCCTTCACTTGGCAATCTCTCTTCCTTTGAGGTTTCTGTTATCTTATCTACTACCCAATCAAAATTCTGGTAACTGTTGTCTATAGACCCCAACCCCCAGGTCACTCTCCTTCCTTCCTCAATAGGTTTGATGCCTGGCTTACAGTTGTTCTCTCCTCCCCAAGTCCTACCCTCATACAAGGGGAATCCAATGTACATACTGACGCTCCCTCAAAGTCTTTAACTTCCCACTTCCTCAGCCTATTCACCTTCCATGAGTTGCTCCTCCATCCCACATCAGCCACACACAAAGATGGTCATAGCCTCAGTTTTGCCATCTCCAACAAATATGTTCAAGAATTCTGAAATCCTTTTATCCAAACATAATCTATTGACTTTTCACCTCTTTCTCTGCTTTCCCTTATATAACCCTGTTGTTTATTCTCACCATGACCTCCAATCCCTTCACCTCTCAGTTCTCTTCCACATCATCTCCTTTGCACTGACTACTCTCTCTTCTCCTCCTCTTCTGGACCCTTGGTGAAGCAATTCAACTCCACATTGTCCTCCTCTTTTGGAGACATCATTTCACTGATTACACCCAGTCAAGCCTCAGCTTGAATCACTCCTGCCATTCATCCCTTTCCCTCCTTCCTATTTGCTGCTGAATGAAGGTAGAGAAAATCACACAACCATCCCAACTGGGTCCACCATAAATTATGTTGTATAACCTCCCCTGGGCACTCACTGCTGCTAGGCAATCCCTTATTAACTCACTATCCCACTTTACACGGTGGCTCCTCCAAACCTTTTCATCTCTCCTCAAACCTCTCATTGTTCCCTTTCCCTCCATTACCTCATTGGGGAACCTTGCCTCATATTTTATAGAAAAAAATACTCGTCTCCTATCACTGAGATGCCTTCTGCCGCTTTTTCCTGCTTGATCCTTGTTTCATATAATCAAGTGGCCTTACTCCTTACCACGGCTAACCCCTCTACTTGTTCAAATAATCCCATTCCACCCGATCTCTTCCAACATATTGCCGGCTCTGTCATCCCCACTCTTAGAATTTTTTCAATCTCTCCCTGCCTACTGGCTCATTTCTGACTGCCTACAAACATACCTATGTCTCTCCTATCCTTAAAAAATCTTCACTTGATCCTTGCATTGCTGCTAAGTATCATCTTATTTCTCTTCAGTCCTTACCAAAATTCCTCAAAAAAGTTATCTTCAATAGGTGCCTCCACTTTCTCTCCTCTCTTCTTAACCCCTTACAGTCTGGCTTCCCAATTTATTATACTACCCAAACTGCTCTCTCCAAAATTACTAATGATCTCTTCATTGCCAAATCCAATATCTTTTTCTTTATCTTCATTCACCTTTACTTCTCTGCAGTCTTTGACACTGTTGATCACTCTCTCCTCTGTAGTATTCTCCTCTCTTTAGGTTTTCGGAACACAATTCACTCCTGGTTTTTCCTCTACCTATCTGGCCATGCCTCTATCTTCTTTGCTGTATCCTTCTCCAGATCAAGCCCTCTTTCCCTATGTATCTCTCAGCCCCCTGTCCTGGGCCCTCTTTTCCCTCTAAACTATTTCAATTGGTGATCTCATCAGGTCCCATGGATTTAAATAAAATTTCTATGCTGATGATTCTGAAATATATCTTTCCTGTCCTTCCAGTGACTCTGCTGACCTCCAATTTCCCATCTCCAACTGCCTTTCAGACAGTTCGAACTAGACATCGAAAACTCAAACTGTCCAAAACAGAACTCATTTCATTTCCCCCTAAACCCTCCTCTCCTCCTAAATTTCCAATTACTGTAGCAGAAAACACTATCCTTTCAGTCCTTCAGGCTTACACCTAGGAGTCATCCTGCATTTCTCAACATCTATCACTTCCCATATCCAAACATTTGCTAAGGGTTAAGATTTTATCCCTGCAGTATCTCTCAAATATGCCCCCTTCTTTCCACTGACACTACCACTTCCCTGGTATGGGCCCTCATCACCTCATGCCTGGACTATTGCCATAGCCTCCTGGTGGCTCTGCCTGCCTCAGGTCTCTGCCAATCCATCCCCTATTAAGGTGATTTTTCTAAAGTACAGGTCTGATCATATCAGCCTCTATTAAATAAACTCTGGTGTGTATCTATTGCCTCTAGGAACAAATACAATATGCTCCCTTTGGCCTTCAGAGATCTTCATAACCTAGCCCCTTCCTTCCTTTCCAAGCTTCTGTTATGCTACTCCCTATGAGGTGTTCTTTGATCCAGTAACAATGGCCATCTGTTTGTTCTATGAACTAGCCACTCCATCTCTCAGCTCCAGACTTTTTTTCAGATTGTCTCTCTTGCCTCTAATGCTCCCTCCTCTATTCCAACTTGACTACTGACCTCCTTGCCTTCCTCTAAGTCCCAACTAAAGTCCCACCTTCTACAGGAAGCCTTTCTTTACCTCTCTTAATTCCAGTGCTTTCCCTCTTTTAATTATTTCCTATATATTCTGTATGTAACTTGCTTTGTATAAATTTGTTTGCATGTTGTCTCCCCCATTAGACTGCAAACTCTTGGAAGGCAGGGACTATCTATTGTCTTTTTGTATCCCCAGTTCTTAACACAGTGCCTGGCACATAGTAGGTGTTTGATAAATGGTTATTAAATTAATGAATTTACCATACACTTATCATGTCCCCATAAGCATTCATCCCTAGGTAGTAGGTCAGCTTCCCCTCCTTATGCAGGAGGTTCTGCTCATTAATGAACTTCAGGTTCTCCTCCCATACATTTCTCCTAAAAGAATCCTCCTTCTATGAGAAAATTTAGAACAATAGGCAGTAATGTTAACAGAGGGATAGCCACGAACTCTCTTTGCCCTAGAGTTCTGAGTGCCCAATCTCATTGTCTAGACCCTAAACTCTTAAAGCATGGGCATGTCTCATTGGGAACATAAATTGCCTCTTCAACAGCAAGCCAAAGTTTAGTAACCTTAAAGTGGTCTCTATTTCCTTGCCATATATAATTCTGAAATATGGAATTGGCAACCTTACCCAGGAGGGACCTCAGGGGTCATCTAATCCAAACCATACCTAAGTGGTAGTCTTCTCTAAAATCTTTTTGAAGACATGTCTTTCCCTTTGAGGTCCTTGGCCAACTTAATACATACCATGGCAGCCTAAGCCACTTAGGGACAGCTCAACTTGGTAGTCAGTTTCTCCTTATTATTGAGTCAAGATCCACACATTCCAAGCTTTTCTCTGAAGGCTTCCTTGTGCAGAAAAGTAAACTAAGTTGGATAGCTTTCCCACACGGATATGCACTAGAAGTCACATATGATAGTCATAGGTGTTACTCTTCTGACTTCAGCCCTTCAAGTGATTTCAAGTAAAGAGAATGTGTCAGGGTTTTAAAGTCTTTCAGCTTGATGGTAGCAGCCATGTTATGGCCAAATCTCATTCTATCAATGTGATTTCTCCAATTGGTTACCAAAAATTGACTTAATACTTAAAGTGGGAGGTCTCACTGTGGCAGAGTTCAAGGAACTATACCCTCACTCAGATTTTTGAGGTATGCACATTCCCATCCATTACCCAGAAGGCTGTCACAAAAGAGATATCACCTACCTCAGTATAGTTCTTTTCATATGTGTACTTAAACAGTTCCCATTTGGTGTCCAGCTCTGAGTTTCTTGTGGGAAAACAATATGAAAGTGCCCAACAAAGGGAAACTAGACAGAGAAATAGTCTCATGGTGGTTACCTTTTGCTACTTATGAAGTTTTCAAAGACTCTTCTTTCTGCTGGAACCCATTTAAAAAACATTCACAAAGTTTTTATACAAATGTCTTACCTCACCTTTACAATATACAAAAACCTCTTTGCCCCTTCACGCTCCTGTCCAATATCTTTGGATAATTGAATGAATGATAAGGCCACTCATTCCAATTTTTTGTTCACATAGAGGTCAAAGTAGTTGAGAGAGTGAAGTTAGAATGAAAAGTGGAGGTTATGTTGGTGGTCAATGCTTCCTAAGTGCCTAGTCGCCCTTCCCCTCATTCCTCACTCTGTCTTCCATTTCTAGGCTTATGTGATGCCAGTATTCCAAGATTTTTACTTCTTTCAAAATCTGAATCTTTATATATAATTTCTTTAAATTCTAATCTCTTATATACAAAGATTGTTACTGAATGATACCAAGCATGGGCAGCAACAGCTTGGAGTTCACGTTCATCTCTCCCATGTGAAACCCTTTACAAAATACATGGCACATTTCTTCTGCTCTTTGTTTTTACCTATGCACCCAGATATTACCCCACTGCTAAGAGAAGGCCCAAAGCTACCCTATAATTCACCTGGCAAAAGAAGTTGCAGCCACAAGGGAGAGGAGAGGAAGGTTCTTCACCAATGCTGAGAAATCTGACCTTCTCACATCCCTAGAACTCTATTTATGCTCCGACTTTGGGTTTAGCTCCTTGCCTTTTCCTCATCCAGTATTTATACCTTGTCTTCAGCCTAACTAGCCTCAAGATTGAATATCCTGTAGAAAGATCACAATTTACTTAATCTTCAGTGCCTGAGGCATTAGGGAGGGGCTGAAAACCAGATCAATATATCTTTGACAAGCCTTAAGCCATTTTGGATGAAATTACTGATTGATGAATTATTGACTGAAATTATGCACATTCGTAGGTGAGTGGCATAGGACGTCCAAAGAGAGCATGAGGTATAATCTCTTCTTAAAATCAAGCTACTTGAGGTTCAGGTGCTTCTGTCCCAGAAGTTTGCAGTCTTAGATAGGGGCCCCCTCAGCAGTGGCCCATACTGTTTTTCTCCCCTCCCCTTAGTCATTCTTGAATAATTGAGAATTATACCCCTGCCCTTTTGTGACAGACAAGCTGTAGGTGCCCTTTATTTTAGAGAAAGTAGTAGGCCAGGAATAGAATGGAAAGATCCTTTGATGACAGGAGGGCCCCCATCCAGGGCAGCTATCAGCCAGTTAAGGAGAGGTTCTTGGCCACTTTGAACATATCCCTTCTATAAGAAAAGATGCAATGATAGCAAGCCAAATAATGAAAGTTCACTTCTAACTTATATTAATGAGTTTCCCAACTTGCAATAATTACTGTATTGCGAGAATGAGAAAATTATGGAAACACTGAGTATAGAAATACTTGAATGGGCTTCAAAGTATATTGATCAAGGCAGCCTTGTGCTTGGAGGAAACAGCATTAAATTAATTATCAAGAGAGGTCTACGTCAGGAGTCATGAAAATAGGAGAGTAAAGAAAGCATTTACTGGCCTTGGTACTGGGAATGTGGAAGAGAGCCCAAACTAAAGATTAAGATTTGGAGAAATAGGGAACAAAAGTCCTTAAAATGCCAAAACATTGAGCAATTTTATTATTGGTAAGATGGACAGAAATTGACTCCATGTCTAAACTTCCTAACTGAAGGGAAACAGAAAACTCTTTTGTAGGGTGCCAGAAATTCAGAAGAATCATCTCTGTCAAGGTTATGTCCAGCTCCCCCCAGATGGAATAAGGTGAACTGAAAATTAGGTGAGAAAATTATAAATGTTGGTGGGGATGTAGGAAAATTGAGACACTGATGCATTTTTGGTGGAATTGTGAGCTGATTCACTCATTCTGGATAGCAATTTGGAACTATGCCTAAAGGGCTATGAAACTCTTTGACACAGTAATACCACTACTGTATCTCAAAGAGATAAAAAGAAAAAGAAAAAGAACTAATTGGTACAAAAATATTTATTGCATCTTTTCTTATCATGGCAAAGAATTGAAAATAGGGGAATGCCTATCAATTGAGGAATGGATGAATAAGTTGTGGTGTATGTTGTTGCTGGAATACTATTATATGATAAGTAGAATTCTCTCATAAAATCCTGGGAAGACTTACAGGAACTGACACAAAGTGAAGTGAGAAGAACCAGGAGAATATTGTACACTGTAACAGCAATACTGTATGATGATCAACTGTGAATGACTTAACTATTCTCAGCAAGACAATGATCCAAGACAATTCTGAAGGACTTATGATGAAAAATGTTATCCATTTCTAGAGAAAGAAATGATGGAATCTGAATATAGATGAAAACATACTTTAAAAAACTTTCTTTAGTTTTCTTGTTTTTTGTTTTTTTTTTTTTTTAGGAGGGGGCCCTATATTTTATCCCCCAACATAAGTAATATAGAAATCTTGGAGGGAAAATGGAGTCACCCAAGGATTTTAAGCAAGGGAGTGACATGGTCAGAATTTGCTTTAGGAAGGTTAATTGGCAGCTGTATGGCAGATGGTTCAGAGAGGGGAGATACTGAAAGGAGGAAAGCTAATTAGGAGGCTGTTGCAAGAGCCATGAGAGCTGTTATGTTGGTTTGAATTTGAATGATCTCTATGTGAGTGGAAAGAAGAATTCAAGGCATATTATGGAGAATCAACAAGACTTGGGAACTGATTGGATATGGTGGCTACAGGAATAAAAAGTCATGGAATGCTACAAAGTTGACAGAATGGACACCTGGAAATAATGGTTCCCTCAAAAGAAATAGAGGTTTGGAGGATGGTGTACTCAACAGGTAAGATGATGAGTTTCATTTTGGACACACTGAATTTGCAATGACTACAGAACTACCCAGGAAAAACCAAGGAGTTGTTGGTGAAAGGAGGTTTAGGAAAGAGTTTGAGAAAGAGATTAAGGTTGGATACATAGATTTGGGCATCATCTTTGTAAAGATGGTACTTATACCCATGGGAGCAAATAAGATCTCCAATATAGTTCTTATAGAGAGAAAAAAAGCCTAGGGCAGAGTCCTAAAAAGCATCACACCAAGGAGGCAGGAGATGAATAATGATCCAGTAAAGGAGACTAAAAAGAAGCAGTCAGGTAAGCAGGGGAACCAGGAGAGAATGGTGTCCCAGAAAGTTCAAATAAAATGTGGGCTGAGAAAAAGCCACTGGGTTTAGCAGTTGAGAGATTTTGGAGGACAGATCACTGAGGAAAGAGGTGCCATGAGTTCTTGGAAGTCAATAACTACGTAAGTGCTTGTGACAAATTTTAGGACTAGTATTTTGAGTAGGGTCAGATACCTGGAGCTGCCAGAGCCATCCTGTGTAGTTAATCCCAAAGAAGCTCAGATTCTAGGACAGGTGAAAGCTATTTCCTTACGTTATACGGATAAAAGAAGCCAGAATACTTCACTAAGCCAGCTATCTTTACAATAAACTCCCATGGCCAGTGAGGAGGCTGGATTGAACCTGATGACTTACAGTGGACTACAGGGAATTGTACAAAATTGTCACAACAATCACTGAAGCCTCTCCTGACTTTTTTAGATGTGGTGGCCACCCAAGCCCCACAGAAATGGAATGGTAGTCCAATTTACTGCCTTTTTTCTACTTTTGTGGCTGAGTAGTCAGGAACAGTTTATATTTATCTAGGAATAACTCCAGTGGACCTTCACAATTATTCCCCACAGATTCTACCTGAAGTCTCCCTCTTAGGGTCAGACTGGTGGACAGAGACGTGAAGGAGGCCCCACTTCCTGAGGACAATGACATTCACCACAACATCCATGACATAATGTTGGCCAGACCATCCAAGGACAGGGGCCCCAGATTGGATAGTGGCCCAAACAATGGATGAGCTGTGAGAGACCAGCACTAAGAAAATCCAAGGTCCAACCTGCTCAGTCAAGTTTTGGGGAAATACAGTGCATGGGAGAGGCTAGATGAGCCTGGATGCAGTCCAGAACAAGCTACTGACATCTGCTGACACAAGAGACATGGACAGTGGGTACCAGTATTAGCAGAGGTTTTAGCAGAATGAGCAGCATCACAGGCACTGACGGCAGCAGGGCAGGGCAGCAGGGAATGTCACAAGTACCAGGAGTTGATAGCATTCTTGTCAGTGTTCATGAATGAGAGCAACTCTATTAGAGACTTAGGCCTCTCTAGTCGAGCCCTGACACCCTCCCTCTTCTGCTAGCTACCTTGCTTATGAGGGCCTGACCACTGCAGATTTCTGTTTTTTTCTGGTTTGCCAACAGTTCCTCCCACTGCAAGAGGGACATGCACAAATGACCCTCAGTACCCATCAGTAATAATCCAATAACAAATGATAGCCTGAGGGACAGAGGTCTTGTCAAGTCCTGCCTGTGGACTGAGACAGGGTAACACAAGACTTGAACGTGAGAGAGCCTTCAGGCATGGTGCAGATAAAGCTTATAAGCTGTGCTGATTTCTGGACAAAGCACCATGGGTCTGAAACTTGAGGGAACAGGTTTAAAAGCATTATAGGGATTTGGCCAATGTCTCCTCCCTATGTGAGTTGTTTGTAGGGCATATTAAATATCCATCAGAGCCATCAAATGCCCTTTGCTAAGCTGAAAAATCAGAATTAACCTCTTACAAGAATGGTAGAGGTTGAAAATGTCAATCCATTACCAGTCTGGATGTGGGGGCAGTGATGCCAAATTGTGGTGAGTGTGGGATTATATGATCTTTCTATGGAATGCAATGTCTGCTTAAATGGATTAATCACCATGACCCTAAATACTGAAAGCAGATGTCCCATCTCCAGGAGGCAGATGTATGATAAGTTGGCACCATCTTAGGAAGGTAGAAGGCTGTTTCCAGAGATTTGTTGTATCTGGCTTTTAAGAAGACTTCCCTCATAATGGTGGACTGCTTTTGAACATAATTCTGGGTGACTAGTTGCCCTTCCTTATTCCATCC